TTGTAAATGCTAATAACAAGTAAAATTGCCATTAAGTCTGACCCTACTGGAGATACACCCCCCTTTATTTCCTTACCCCTCGACCTATAATCATCAAAATTTAATAGCATCAATCTCTCTAATAAACCTCCTTGCAAAATTTTAGAAATCTTCGACAAAAAGCACAGGAGTTATTAAGTTTCAAAGAGGATGAACAAAATCGCGCCCCTATACCCACTAACATCCATACATACAGAAAAATCGAATTTTGCATTTTTCGACGTTTCAAGATCTCTGAGTTCAAAAATGTAAAAATTTGGGGGTCGTTTTTTTGACCGATCGCCATACTTTCCCTTTGTTATATATATAACAGTCGAAAAAGTAAAAATTTTAGGAATCGTTGTTCTAGTTGAGCTTTTTAATAATTTTGATGTTGTGTTAATTTAGATAACACTTCATACCAAATAACTAAATTTAGATATTTTAAACGCTAGAGATTTACTATTGGTTTTAGTATCGCTATCTCTGTTATCAAAATAATTTTCTGTTAGAGCATCATATACTTCTCCTAAATTATATCTCAATAGTTTTAATGTATCATGCAATTTTTCCATCTCGTATCACTTACACCTTTTCAGGTTAAGATGTTACATATTTTTTAAACACTTCATCTGTTAGTAGAACTGGAAAAAATATGAATACTTCTTGCACAGTGAAAAAATATTAATTTGTCCAGAAGCCGCCGCTACATCGCTGACAACAAGATTAAAGAATGGCACAAACAGGAAACAAAAATGGCTCCGAAATTTTGATTTAAAATCCGTCTTTGTACACCGGAATGAGAACCTTTCATATTTACTTCATTATCTTAGTCCCATCCACACATATCTTTTTTTTTCAATTTTTAATCCTGATGATTCCGGTTCTTGCAGTAGGCATATTAATTCTGTCAAACCAGCTCCAGTAGTTAATTTCACATACCCAAAGAATATTTTAGCAAGTTTTTGCTCAAATATTCTTCGGATAAATATTCAGAATATTGCTAGAAAAACCAAAGACATTCGTTTGATTCTGTTGATATCCGAGTACAGTCTAAAATTATGGTATACTACAATATTTACAATCATTAATAATAACAATGGTCAAAAGATATATTTTGTCATTCAATCCTACTGATGTTTAGATCTAACATTAAGCAGGCAAACACGAACAGTAACAAAAACGAACTTTATTAGAAAAGGTTAGAACTGTCACAGACATCCTCGGGCAACACCCGGACAAAATCCAACGAACTTTCGCGCCTTTTCTTTTTTGACGTTGCCAGCCACTCTTGTTGGCAATGTTGCCAGACAGAGTTCGTGATCTTGGCAAGTGTTGCCAGACAGTGTTCAGGATCTCTGGCGCTGGCGGTCACAATATAAAATGATCTAAGGTCCATTTTATATATCTTTACTTAGATAATGCAAATATTCTCGGATGACCTTCTTAAATGTCCACGGTAACAGGATCAAATTTTGATATTTTAAAAAATTACATTTGCTTGGTGCAAATATTTTATCCGAACTTCCTCTCGATGCTAACAGTTGTATGACACATAACTGAATAACTGAGATTATCTTCTTTAGTATATTTCATCAACGTTGCCATTGCTGTTCTAAGATTCTAGCGAACAGTTATTCTCTAGAATGAACAGAATACAACTGAGAACTAGAAAACAATCGTTCTTGTTTAGCTGACTTCCTGGAAAATCTCAGCGCCAGTGACCCCAGTGCGGAGCAAAATAAAAACAATAGAGCGCCAATTGACGTATTTACATTGAAAAATTATCAAGGAAGCGAACTAAAATTATTTACTTAGTCGTTGTATATTGTAATGAATAAAAATTTCAATATGTGAACCAAACTACTGCCTTTTGAAAGTGCCACCTGAGGTTCGGATAAGTCGGGTCCCGTCCCTCACCACCCGGTCGCCCCATTGTGGACCTGGCTGAACCCATAATGGGCCTGCTATAAGAGGCCCTCTTAGTGCCCACTGCGCGGAAATGGTAGGAAAAAAAAGTGCCACCTGAGGCGACTGTCTCAACGCCTCACCCCATGCGCCGGGTCTGGCATACAAACATCTTCAATTGTGAGAAATTTGTGGATATCGATAAAGATGGTGAATGTGTCAAGTCATTAAACAAAAATGAGATCGTTTCGTCCATTTGATATGCATGCGTGTTTTTTCATACGATTTTATGATAGTTTTACATAAACATCATTAGAACATTTGTATCACATTGAACCGTTGAACATTTGACCGTTGTATCAACGATCTCTATGAGAGGGGCTATGGTATGTGAGAAAAGACAAATCTAGAGACACCCATGAAAGATCTATTCAAAGATTAACATTATTTTCATTTTTGAATAATAACGACCGTAAATCAATATGAAATTTACAATTACGCTACTTTTTCAAAAAAATGCATCAGATTTAGAGATAAATTTTGCGGCAGTCCAATATTAAAATCTTTCGATAATATAACTTAGGCCTACTCGTTGTAAAATGATGTTCGATAATTTGCGTTTATATATAGAAACTTATTATCCGCGATAACATAGATTGATACTACTTCGGATAAAACGAATGGCAATGGGCATTTAGGATTAGAAATTACGAATATAAGTTTTACTCATGACATTCTTACACGTTAGTGAATTTAATCATATATACAGTAGAGCGTCGATTATCCGAAATTCAATCATCCGAAAGAATTCCAGTCGGCAAATTTAAATTTTCGCCAGTGCTGTGGCGCTGCAATCTTTGGCCATGTCTTGGGCTACTCAAATATTTTACGTTTTTTATACTAAATTAACTTCTGAAGTATATTTTTTATTGTTTTTATATTTTTTAATATATTTAGTTTGTTCGTACAAAATAAAAAAATAATTTTTAATGATACAATAGTCTTCGTTAGGCTTAACATCGACGAAAATTCAACGCGAAGCGACACGCAACAGAGAAAAATGTCAAGATGGGATAAATTAATATATTTTTTCGTGCATAATCGGTTATCCGAAACATCGATCTTCCGAACAACCCCAGTCCCAATTGATTCGGATAATCGACGCTCTACTGTATATGTACAAAAACAAATTTTTCCATCATTTATTATTCTGCTAATAAACATACAGTTTTAAAATAAAAATGTGTATTATTATAGTCACATTTTACTATGAATGACTTTTCCCGTATTGAAGTTAAATGATAAAGGTAACAGAAACAAATTATTTTGTAATACATGTTACCATTTTGAACTTTCTTTTATGAACTACTATATAAGAAAAGTAATGTATTTACCTATAGGTTTGTCTCGGATAGTGGGGAACCTCGAATAATCGGGGTTCTACTGTATTTCATTTAAAAATTTTTTCCTGGAAAGATTTACAAAAGTTTTCAAACCACCTTGAAATGGTATTTTCTTAGCATAAGGTTGCCGTTGAGAACAAATCACTCAGGAACAGTTTTAGTAGAAAAAGGTCGGTTTATTGATAGGATAGCCTAAGCATTTCGAGCCTGAAATGCATAGGCTATCCTTTCCTATGTGTTTTTTTTTTTTTTTTTTTTTTTTTTGTTCTCAACGGCAACGTTATGCTAAGAAAATACATATAGAAAAAAGTAAAGCAAGAAACCAACACCTTCAAACAGGTTTTCATAAAAATAATTTGCGGCAAGGTCTATTATTCTAGTTAACTTTTGAAAAATTTACATACTTAGAACTATATAAAATGTTGATAAAACATGTCAGTAAAAAGAAACTTCGCCAGTTGGATAAAAAGACTATTTGATACGCAGGCCGTGAGTTAGAGACCACTGAATTGGACTATTATTAATTAGAATTTTAAATGTACTATACATTATAAGAGATGAAACTAATAACTTCAGAAAACGATACTTTTACAGATTATTTAAAAAAACCAATAAAAAATTATTGAGTAATTAATGTAATGTGACGAATCAATGACCTGTACTTGGTTTGAATTTCTATTAAATGCTCAGTGTAACTAAATTTTTAACTCTGAAATTTTAACTCTAAAAAAAAAAAGAATTAAAATTTATTAGATTTTTAAAATGTTTTGCATGTATTCAGAACATGGCCAAAATAATAATAATAATAATAGGGTATGAAAATATGAAAATACCTTAAAATGCAAATAGGCATGCACTATCATTTAACTTCAATTTTTTGTTATTAAATTTAAAACAAGTTTCCGAAATTATCACTGAAAATTTTTATTTTAAAATTAAAATAAGTATTTAACAAGTTAATTTTTAATTTTATTAATATAAATTTTCAAGAAGTTATAAATTGAATTTTTCAATACAAACATCAACAGAAAAAGCTACTACATTGCAAATGGCAAGAAGAAAGTATATTGATACTTTTTCATGTTGTTTATCATATTTTTACTATTCAACATCTAGATAACAAGTTCTGGATATTATAGAGAATATGCAAATGCCTCCAGAGATAAATGAAACAAAGTTGACGGAGTACATTGATAAATTTTAGAATGGGCCGTCGTCACCGACGGAGATATCGACGAATATGATGTTTTTTCAAAAAACAGAACGTACAGATTATGTTTCACTGGCATTTAAATGTAGAAAACGATATCGTAGCCAGACTATCCGAGCTAATTGGTTCTGTGTTTATAAAACTTTTAATATTGTAAGTTTAATACGTTGATTAAAGGGTATTTTTGGTGAATTGTTATAATTCTCTTGTTTTCACGCAATTGTGTATTGACATTTCGCAAACACCGTATAATCCGAAAAGATTTTCTGAACGCTCGAATCTTTGCGATCGAGTCGAATTCTTATTAATATTAAAAAAAACGTATTAATTTAAAAAAATGAAATTATTAAATACCAAAAATAAAGAAAGAAAAATCTGAATTTTAAAAAGTTACATAAAATTAAAAATAAACAAAAAAAATGTGAAAAATAAAAATTTTTTTCCCCTGGAACGTTTCGGTCAATTGTGGGATTGCATGTTTTCATATTCCGTTTGGAGTAAATGCGTCGTCGACTTCGCGGCAAGTAGTAAACGTGTTTAGATGGAAAAAAGGGAGAAAAAATTTACAAAAATGTTATTTGTTTAGTTAATATGATTGACATATCAACGCTATTTAATCGTACGGATATGTTACTAAGGTAAGTTTAATTTCTTTCGTGATTTTGTTTGATTCGATGCAAATAATCGAGATGGACTGCCAAATTTGAAGATCATTGCACCCTGTTACACTTGCTAGCAATAAAATTTTTTTTCGACATATCGAAATATTCATATTAGCAAATCATTCTATGAATATTAATTTTATCGCTAAGCGTAAAGATCTTTTAAAGCTACTTTATGCAATAAAACATGAAATACATTTCGTCTATTTAAGTAAAAATAATTTTATTTAATATCAATATAAGTTTTAGGTATATTGGATCAAAGTTAATTGCAATTTTATTTTGTTATTAGAATGTTTAAAAATGCCTGCATATCGAGATAAATCATTGTTTCAGCATCATGATAGTTTTGTGAATAATTAACTATTTAGCAAATGAATTTTGAACTTTAAACCGGAATTTTAAATGTATATTATAAATTAAAGTAATAATTTAGGAAATGATACTTTTACAAATTATTTTAAAAAACGAATAAAAAAATTATTGAGTAATTAATGTGGTGAATCAATGACCTGTACAGTACTTGGTTTGAATTTCTGTTAAATGCTTCGGCATAACTGAGAATAGTGTTTAAAGAATTAAAACTTAGGAAAGTCTTTAAATGTTTTGCATCTATTCAGAACTTGGCCAAAATAATAATAATAGGGTTAGGGTATGAAAATGCCTTAAGATGCAAATAGGCATGCATTGTTTTAATCTTGAGAGAAAAGGAGGATAAATGAACAGAAACAGCATTAAAGGGCTTTTCTAATTCCTTTAATGCTGCTTTCTGTTCGTTTATCCTCTTTTCTCTCAAGTAAGTGTGTTGGTGTGAATTCCATACAATGTTTTTACATTGTTTTTATCAAAGTAAATAATTGAAATTCTACATCTAAAACTTTATAATCATAGTTAATAGTTTTAAAAACATTAAAAAATATAACTTGAATAAGTATAAGATTCATTTCTTGGATAACATTTAATAAATAATAATAATAATAATAATAATAATAATCTAGCAAGAAAACAAAAATATTTTTATGTTTAAGTTTATTTTTGGATGAATGTAAATTTTTAAAATATTTATCACATTCATTTCATTATCAAGTAAACAAGTAATCATCAATAGATCATAATTCCAAAAGACACAAGTTTTTAAAACATTAGTTTGTAAACTAAGCTGAAATAAAATATTAACTAATCTACATAATTTGTTAATAAAAATTTTCTATTACATAGGTTTGCATGAAAAAGCCAAACTATTCTTTTTTTAAGCATTAAGTTTTTTAATAACATATTATTATGTATATATTTTTAAACTTTATAAAATACAGAACTCATATCAGTAAATATTTTTCTTATGAAATGCTACCTCATTTGTGTGTGACAAACCTAGATTAAGCCTACAAAATTGTATAAATAAAAACTTTTATAAAATGGACTTAAAATGTAGTGCATATATAAATTATTGATGATACAAGTTTAAAAAGTAAATTTTTGAATTTTTATGAATAAGTAAATACTTTCATTTTAAATAAGAGTTTTCCTGAGCATAGCAAACAAATTTAATGTAAATACAGTTTAAAAATTTAGAATGATTTCATGATATTATATCATTTAAAAATTCTGTTATTATTTCATAAATGTCTGGAATTGATGAAAATAAGTCATAAAGATGTCAGTGTTGCCTGATTTTGTGTAAGTTTATTATAATAGGGTTAACCTGTTACAAGGTGGTTCCAAGTAGTAACAAATTGCAGTTGGTTCTATCTTACTACAACATTGTTAAATGATGTAAATATAGTGGAGTACAACATTGTACTCCACTATATTTACATCATTTCAATTTTTATATCGTACAATCCTTGTAATATAAGGTAAATCTTAGTCACCGGACATACTACTCTATTACAAAAGACTGTTGAATTATAAAACAAAATGACCACAAAATTTATTTTTAATAAATATAAAAAGATACTTGATTGTTTGTTAATGTTCTTGTTTAATGCACGGAGGTGGTATCTGAATCAACCTTCAATGCCTCATTACAGAAATAAATTTTATACAAATTGGAAAAAATTACATCTATAATAACAACTATATTTTCTTGAAACAAGCAAATTCCAAAGCCATTTGTATCATTTGAAACACTTTCAATATAACAGGCTCTATTATAACAACACTTTTACCGAGTGGCTATCTTAGGAGAAATTTAATAATAACTACTGTAAGAAATTGAACACATTACAATCTATTTTTTTTTTTAATAACTCCTTAGTGACACATCACTTAATTGAACTACTTAATCAAGATTAATATCATATAAATAAATACCTTATCATCCTTTATATAATAATCATCTCTTACATTTATTGTTACGATTGAGTTTTTCTTGTTTAACTATTGGTAGTAATTTCTTCCTTTTCATCTTTGATCTCTTACATAAATCTGTAGTCAGTATTATTTTTTCCTCTCTACACTCAGTGTGTCTTTCTTTCTCCAAAATTCTTTAAGGATTAGATTTCTATCGAATATGGAGTCTAATGATATTTTCACTATAGGTTTAGTTTTACTGTTGGATAATTTAATCAAACTATCTGAGTAACTATTAGGTAGACCCAAATCCTTTTTTATAAACTGATTAATTTTCTTTATATAATCAGACAAATTAAATGGAAAATTTTTAATTATAATATTCTTATTATTTTGCTCGTTAACTAGCTTGTCTAACTCAAATTTCAACATACATTGTATTTGACTATTGTTCTTAGATATTTTCTCCATTTCTTCTATTTTTTGAGATAGTTGTGACAACTCACCCTGAAAATATTTATTATCTTCCTTCAATAAATTAACCTCTGTTGTGATTCCTTGTAGTTCATTGTGGAGTTACGAAAATTTATCTTGTGTTAGATCATATATCGATTTTAAAGTGTATTGGAGTTCATCCTTACCCTGTAATTTTTTACAACTTACTGTTTCAAAATATTCATTAATTCTCGTGGTTCTAGAAGTCTCTGGAATGAACTTGCTGAGGTTTTTCTCTATTTGGTGATAATCTTCACTAATTAAGTCATTCAATGGATTTTCTTTTTCCTTTTCTTTGAATTTCTCCTTATGTATATTTTATCTTGTCTCCTTTGCATATCCATTTGACTCATTTATTGTGACGATTGAGGTAGAGGACCTGGATTTGATTCAATCCCAGCAATTAACAATAAACATATAATTAAATCTTAGATTAATAATCTATTAATGAATATCACAGAACCATCATATCACAACTAACTACAGCTTTCCAAATTCTCTAATACACACTTTTTAAGCTTCACTAAAAAGTTCACCAACACCTCTGGCGACCAGACATGCCCCAGATTTTGTGTAATTCTGAAAAGAACAAAGTTACATTGTCCAAAATTTGTTGATTTTGTTTTCACAGCTAAATAATTAATTTTTTATTCTGAAATTTATAGTTTGCTAAAATTTTTGATATGATAATAAATAGTAATTATAATAGTTATAAGTAATATCAGTCATTAAAAGACATTGTTTTTTTCTGTTACAAAAAATTATTCATTTTTTTAATGATTTACAAGACATTTTGTATAAAAAAAAATGCCAAATATCTATATCACATATAAATAATGTGATCTTTTTAATTATCTTCCTAGCAAATTTCATAAATGTATTTCAATAGAATATAAATGAGCAAAGAATGCCTATTATTCAGAATTCAGTTTTAAAGATTTGCTTGACAATACTTTTATTCTTTGGATGAAATCTGTTTTATAACTTTTTAACCCTCTATTCACACCTCTATGTGAAATACAATTGCTAAAACAATTTTTATGATGTCAGATCAATATGACTCTATTGGAATAAGTATTAAAATGCATTTTAATGACATTATAATATACATATATGTCTATATACTAGGCCCTTCATGTCTATGGTAGATTCTTTTATGGAACAACCTTACTTATTACTGAACAAAACACACAAAAGTATTTTTATTTATTGTGAAAGTACAGTAATACCCTGACTTACGCTACCCCGACTTACGCGAACCCGGAGTTACGCGATTTTCAAATCTCGTCGATTCGTCTTTTGTTTGAGCGCCGCACAACCTTTGATTACTCACTCCCCCACACTATTGCTCAGCTTACATGTTTGGATGTGTCGTGCGGAATCCACACATAGCTACAATTTATTTTGTGTTATTTATTTCTGTGTTTGTTATATCTACGGAGACTTGAGACTCTACTATGTCATCCAAACGAAGTAGAACTAATTCTTCTGCATCAAACAAGAAAAGAAAAACTTTATCTTTGGAATGTAAAGTTAACATTGGGTATGTTCGTAAAGTCGAACGAGTTAAACGAGAATGATGTCATCATTATTCCTATTTCGTTAGACTTTTCGAATGATTCGTTACTAACGCGTTTAACTCGCTTGACTTTACGAACGTACCCATTATTAAAGACTTCGATACAAAAATGAAAATTTGTGAATTGGCAAAGAAGTTTGATCTACCGGAATTGTCGGTCAGAACAATTATAAAAGGCAAAGAAAAAATTCTCGAAGCTGTGAAAAATGCTCAATCTTTAAATTCAAGCATCATTCGTAAACGTCACAGTATTATCGCTGAGATGGAAACAATGTTAAAATTATGGCGTAATAATCAAGTAAATGTGAAAAATTGTAAAATAATATAGGCCTAATTTGTTATACATATGTATTATGTAAGATTTTATTAAACATTTTTTTCTAAATTATTGTTTTCTTTAGTCTCTGGCCCCAATTAAAAATTATTTGTATGTATTTATATGCGAAATTATACCCCGACTTACATGGTTACCGCTCGGTCCCACCTATTGCATAAGTTTGGGGTATTACTGTATTGAGGGATACCCATGGGCAGCCCACTATCTGGCAACTTATGCAAGTTGGTACTACATCAGTTGGAAGAAAGGGTCATACCCAATTACATGTCCAAT